GGGGCCTCCAGAGCAGGCACAGCCCTTCGGACATCCCTCCGCTCATCCTGGAGTCTCAGCGCGAGGCCTCCCCTGCGCCTCTATCACTCTGAGCTGCTGGGGAAGAGGGGGCGGGAACAGGCAGCATGGGCCCTCTAAGAGCAGACTGGAGCCAGGGCTGGGACCCCTGGAATCAGCGGGAAGCACAGCTGCATCCCCGCCCCTGTCCGCACAGGACCAGAAGGCGGTGCCCGTCACCAGCGCCGAAGCCGGTTAGACCGAGGACCGCTCCTGGAGGCGCTGGCCACGCCCGCCGGGCCCCCAGCCCAGAGCCAGCACCCTGCGCGGTGTGCGTGCGCCCAGGCCGGGCAGCCACTGGCACAGTGGCGGTGGCCTCGCGGGGAGCCCAGGGACTGTGGGACCAGGGCATCGGCGAAGGCAGGGAGAAGCTCTCGCAGGTGTCTGCGGGGCCGGTACCGGCCCCGCTCTGAGAATGCAGGGCCCCGTCACGCGGGGCTGGGCCCGCCGACATGGGCCGCGGGCTCTGGGCACAGGGCGTCTGGATGGCCGCCGTGGCCATGCCTGCGCCCGGGCAGCCGGAAGGCGGGAGCCGGGCGCCCTCAACCCTCTCTCCTTTCTCAGGGCAGCGCGGGAGAGCCGGGTCTGCCGGGACCGGAGGGCGCGCCGGGGCCCCCGGTAAGTGCCCGTGGGTGGGGCCGTGGGGCGGTGCTACGGGCTCAGAAGCACCTTTTCAGGGCCTCCGTGCTTCTGCCACGACTACCCGCTCTTCCCCGGGGACGGTACCATGCCCCCCACCCCGGCACTGGTGCCCGCAGTCCCTCTGCTGTGTCCGGCTGAGTCCGCTTGTCATTTTAATGGGCTTGTCCTGACAACGGAACTTAGAACAGAGGAGTCTTCGTTGGGGATGGACACTTCCCATGGCCAGAGGGTTTTGTCCCCACTGGGGAATGTCGCCCAGGTTCCACGTCTGTGGGTGAGGGGCGATGCTGGTGCAGGGAACGACCCCCCAACCCTCCCCCCCCACCATGCTCCCGATTCTTTTCTTCCGCCTCTGCATGAGGCAACCTGAAGCGAAAATCTCCAGCTGCCCACGGCAGCATCCAGGGCATGTACAGATGTGCACTGGAGACCAGAAGGCAGCGGGGTGTGGGTGCTCACGGAGAAGAGGGAATGTCCACGTCCTGCCTGGCCCGTGGGGGCAGCTCAGCCCTGGTGACTTTGCCCGCGGTGATCTGCGAGGACTCAGCTTCAGGGCCCCAACCTCTGAGCCAGCTGGATTTGGGGGTCCTGCCCATGAGGAAGGTGCAGAACTCAGGTTGGAAGTTCGTGGTTGTAAGGAAGCACCTCTCCGGCCAGGCAGGGGGGTATGAGCTCGGCCGTGAGCTAAGGAAGGGGAGGACATGGGAGATCAGGGACTCTGGGCATCGGTGGCTGGGCCCTGCAGCCCTCAGTGCAGAAAGGGCAGGAGGGAGGATCTGGCCACCTCACCTGGCCCTGCAGACCTGGTAGAGAGGGCCTGGCGCTGCTCCTGGTGCTGGACAAGGGCCCTGGGAGCCGTAGGAGTGAGTTCGACCCTCACGCCAGCCTGCCCATCCTGCCGGCCGGCCTGCGCGCTGCTGGGGTGACGCTGTTCTCTCTCTCGTAGGGCTTCAAGGGACACACGGGGGACCCAGGAGCCCCTGGTCCCCGGGTAAGTAGCTGTCCCCTGGAGTAGCTGGCTGGCAGGGCTCTGTCACAGGGAAGCACCCCCACCCACCCTGGTCTAGGAGGAAACCAGCTTGACCAGGTCAGCTCCAACTCCGCCTAGTGGCCAGCAGCTGGCCGTCTGAGCCCTGTGGGGCACAAACTGCCCTTAGGGCTATTTTCCAGAGGCCCCAGAGCCACTGACCATGGTCTGTAGCCCTGAAGCTCCTGTGTGGAGGCTCTCTCCTGCTTTCTTGTCCTCTAGCTTCTCCCATTTCACTCAAACACCCCAAATGAAGGCACCCGGGGCTGGCTGGCGAGACCCCTGCCCTGCTCCATGGCTGAGCCCACATGGCCCAGTGGGGCCTCGCCTGCCCCTGCCACCACTGCAGCCTCTGCAGGCAGCCAGCCCTCCTCTGGACCCAGGACCCCCGCCCGCCCACTGGGCCACAGACAGCTCAGACCCGGGCATGGCGGCGCTCTGCAGGGAAACCCCCCCCCAGCAGAGGGCCGGTTCCGCAGCCTCCCGCGACGGCTGTGTCTGCTCCCTTGCAGGGAGAACCTGGTGCCACGGGGCCGCCCGGCCGGGAAGGATCTCCTGGGAAAGATGTGAGTGTGGGTGCCTGCGGGCCTTGGGCGGGGTGTGGCGGAAGTGGGAGGTGGCTGGGCCCCCGGTCCTCACTGGGAGCCTCAGAGGCTCCCGGCAGTGCCTGTGATAACAGCACCCCTCTTTCCAGGGCGACGCCGGACCTGCAGGCCCACAGGGCCCCCAAGGAGCCAGGGGTCCGCCGGTAAGTTCTGCGCAGAACTGTTTGCTCCGTGTTTCAACGGGGCTTGTTGCCAGCAGTGTTTGGGGGTCCCTTCTGGTGCAGTCCCATGTGTCATTACAACGTGGCCTGTGTCTCAGCAGCCGGTAAGTAGCTGTTGCTCTGAGTCCCCCTCGTAGCCTCCCAGCCCCCCGTTTCGGGCCATTCTCCTGCTCTCAGGACTGCACACACCGCTGGCGTGGGCCCTTCCCGCCCTGCTCCAGCCCCGAGCCCTGCTCTGTCCTGTCGTCTAGGCCACTATAGCCAAGTGGTTCCGGGAGTGGGTGAGAGCACGGAGACGCCCTGTGTCCACCTCAGCCTGCTTGGTGTCTTCTCACCGCTCTAAGCTACGGATGGGTGGGCGGCCAGGGGTGTGGGCCCCATGGCCAACGGGAGTCTGGCCCAGGCCCCTTACAGCCCTGCGGCTCCACCACAGGACGCCACAAGACAGGCAGAAAGTCCCTTGTTCACTGCGCACCCACATGCCCGAGGGAGCGCGAGGCAGGTTTTGCTCACCTGTGACACACGTTCTGCACCAGAGCCGGGGAGGAGCGCAGGCAGGCTCGGCTCGCACGCGGCTCGCTCGCTCACTTTGCACGGCCTACGTGTGCGTGCGTTCGCGTGTGCACGTGCACATGTGTGCCTGTGCGTGCATGAGAGTACATCTGTGCACATACATGCACAGATGTGTATGTACACGTATACACATGTGTGCGCGTGTGTGCATGTGCATGTGCGCGTGCCCATTTCCACTGAGCAATGGGGCCAACGGATGAGGAAGCACCGGATAGACCTGGGCTCGCCAGGTTCCCGAGCTCTTTGGGCTCTATCCTGGGGCCCGCGGATCCTCCATGTCCCGCTCCGCTGACCACGGCCTCGGCACGCGGTGGGCCTCCTGGTGCGGTGCCCCGCCTCCCACACCGCTCCGGGGGCCGAGGTTCACCCCAGCCTCCCTCCTCGGCCGCAGCCTGTGGGGTGCAGGGTGTCCAGATGTCCCCCCCACACCCAGGTTGCCGTGGCCTGAGGCGGGGCGTGGAGGGCAGGGCGGGAGCTCTCCCTGTGTGCTGCTGACACGGCTGTCACTGTCGGCTTAAACAGGTGCAGTTAGGAGAGCGATGTCGGCCTAGGCTGCCTGAGGGGGCGTGACGGTGAGGGGCTGAGCGGCGTCCCGGCCCAGGTGTGGCCGCTCCGCTTAGGCAGGGGCAGCGGGCAGGGCCCGGGCCTCCCGACAGGTGTGGAGAGCAGGTGCTCACGGGTGGGCGGGGCTGGCCCAAGGCCGGAGGCGCCCCCAGGCCCCCTCTCATTGGCCCCCACCAACTCGGGGCATCTGGAGCACGAGGACTGCAGCCCGTGGAAAGCTGAGGCTTCCCAATTGCTCCTCTTCGGGTCGTGCGCCGACTCCGGGCTGTTTCTCTCACAGCCCCACCTCGCTCCACGGAACCCACAGGCGTTCTGAGTGAGGGAGGCCCTGGCAGCCTCGGCGTTTGATACAGTCCCGGGCCAGACAAGTGCCTGGCAAGGCGGGTGCAGCTGGCACTCTGCGCCCATGTGGTGCACCCACGGGCAGGCGCTCTGGCCGTCAGTCAGCTCACCGGTGAGCTTGGTGCACAGAGAGGGTGAGTGCCCCACCTGAGGTCACACAGCAAGTTGTGGACACTCCGTCAGCTGGCGCTGGCCTGGGCGTCCTTCTCGGATGCCCTGGGAGGAGGGACGTGGAGCAGGAGCCCTAGAAGAGGGTGCTGTGGCCCCCTTTTCTCAGTGGCGTGGAGACAAGGGGCAGGGGCAGTGGCCCTGGGCCCTGGGGGAGCCGGCCTGAACCCCCGGTGCCCTCCAGCATCCCCGGTTGCCCTCCTCAGGGCACATTTCCGCCCTGGCACCTGTGCCAATGTGTCTCGAACCCACCTGGCCGCACAGGGAGAGGGCACCAGCGACGGGGTCCCTCGGCAGGGCGGCGATGGTGCGTTGGGCGAGAGCCGCCTACACCGCAGCAGCCCTGGGCACGTGCCAGCCCTTTCGGCAACCTGCGCCGCCCTCTGTGCCGAGAGGGCCTGGCAGAGCCGTCACCCCGTCTCTTCCTCCAGGGCAAGAGTGGATCTCCTGGCTCCCCCGGAGACGCTGGTTCTCCAGGAAGCCCGGTGAGTACCGTCCCGTGCCTGCTGTGGGTGGGCCGCCTCACAGGGGCCGGGGCTCCTTGCAGACGTGGGTTCCGGCCCTGCAGCCTTGGTGGGGTACGGTGGGGGTTGCGTGGCAGGACTGCGTGGAGGTGCAAGGAACCGGGAAGGCCCTTCCCAGAGCTGAAGGAGCTTGTAGCGGTGCTCGGGGCTCTGGCGTCTGCAGACGGGGCACCCAGTCGGGGCACCCAGATGGGCACCCAGACAGGCGTCCATACAGGCAGCGCAGTGCAACCACGAGGTTGTGGACGTGGTGGGCGGCTGTCTGATGCCAGGGGGTGAAGGACAGGGTCCAGCGCACCAGCCCTCCCATCTCAGGTGACAGAGACATGGGACACTCACACCTGGATGACGACAGCTCCCCGCTGGCCACGGTGTGGCAGTGGGGGGTTAATAGGGCCTGGGTGAGGAAGGGTGTCACACAGTAATCAGCAGTGTCCTGGTCATTGGACAGAGGCGTTGGGATTTGGGGTTCACATCTGGAGCAGGTGGTGGGAGTGACAGTTTGGATGAGGCCGGGTCTGGGGCCTCCACAGCCTCCCAGCCCCGCCTTCCCGCATGTTCATGCTGAACTTGGCGGCCCCGTTGAGAAGGGCCGGGGGTCAGGGCCAGCCTGACCAGCACTGCCGTCACTGTGAAAACGGGTGACCAGTGCACCCAGCTTCCCAGGAGCCAATGAGTTTAGCACAAAGTCCTGTACCCGAGGACCCCGCCCTAGCAGAGTCACCCCAAAGCAGAGCTGAATCAGGAGAGGCCCCGAAGCTGGCAGCTTCCCTGTTCCGAAGGCTCAAGCCGGGAGGTCCCAAAGTCTCTCCTCCAGAGTGGTCCCCCAAACCATGAGCCTCCCTGTCTTCTTGGCAGAAGGTACAAGCAAGTACTGGGGCCTCCCTGGAGGGCTGCCTGGAGGTGGAGGTGCCGCATGCACGCCAGGCCGCTTCCGTCCCACATCGGCCTGTTTGCCTCTGCTGCCCTGAACGGACACACTCCGCTTGTAGACAGTTCTCGCCTTGCTCCCCGGCCCTGAAAAGGCACCCACCACGCTCTCCCCATTCCCGGGTCTCCCCCAGACACTCCTCTCCGTGACAGGAGAGCCCCTCCCTCCCTGGGGCGCCTATCGCCCCGTCCAGGGCTCCCCAGGCTTCTGAGTCTGCTTGACCTTCTGAGTCTGGCATATGACCTTGAAGATTAATCCCGTTGTCCCTCTGCAGGGACAGAAGGGGAGCAAAGGAGAAAACGGCAGCCCGGGACTTCCTGGCTTCCTGGGCCCCCGCGGGCCCCCGGTAAGCACGGCACCCCTGGGGCGAGGCGCTGCCTTGGGGTGCGCTTCCCCAGGCCACTGCTGCCAGGGTGGGGTCCGGCTTGTGCCTTGATCTGAGCCACAAGCACATTGGCTGAAGCCTGAGCTGTGGCTCAGGCTGGGCGGGACTCAGCTTGCCGCCTGCCTCTGTCTGGAGGTTGGTGCCTCAGTTTCCCCACCCACTGCTCAGGCAGGGCTGAGCACAGCACCCCCTTTGGGGACTGGGAGAGGCCTTAGAGCCAGGGCTTGGTCCCTCCCCCAGCCAGGGCTGACGAGTAACTCGGATGCCGAGGGCGTGGTGGGCGGTGCCTGCCCAAGGCCCTGGCCTTGGGGTGAGCGTGGTGTAGCGGGCTAGGCCCGGGGCCCCGGGGGGGGGGGGGCGGCTTCTCCCTGCACAGCTGAGCTCTGCTGGCGTCCACACGGGGTGGGGCCCCCGCCTGCCCAGCCACCCCGGTGCCTCTGCTCTCTGAGTCACACCTTCAGCTGCTGACAGTGAGGGGCGAACATCACCGGGGGCGTGTGAAAGCACCCCTCTCCCGCAGCCCCCCAGCCCTCTTCTGGCCCTGTGGGCGTCCCCTGCCAGCCCAGCTGCCTGCCAGGGCCCCGTGGCTCTTTGGCCCCTGCAGCCCCAGCCCTGTGGGGTCTGCGTGCTGGCCTTGCCGTGCCCGGCGGCTGGGCCTGCCTGCCCTGGGCTCCGCTGGCCGCGGCCCTCTGTAACGGCCGGGGCTGCCAGGCCCTGCCCTCCCGTGAGCAGGACACAGCAGCTGTCCCCGCTGTCCAGGTGGAAAGCGGGGGCGGTCGGTTTCAGAAGGCACCTGGAGGTTTTCCCCGCCGCCACAGAGCCAGCGCGCGGGAGAGCCAGTCCCCGCAGGCTGACCCGGCGCCCCGGCCCACGGCCACCTCTCGCCAGCCTGCGTCGGGCCTGCCCAGCGCAGCCGGACAGGAGCCACGCCCCAGAGGCGCTTGGGTGGGGGACCCGGGACCAGCCGGCCATTCGGGCCCTCGCGTTTCCTGGGCACGAGCTAGGCCGGACCCGGGCAGCCGGACCCGGGCAGCCGGGCACGCCTGCCGGCAGAGCGGTGCCCACGAGTGCTGGCCCGCAGCGGCTCATCCGGTTCTGTTTCGCAGGGGCAGCCTGGAGAGACGGGAGGCCCCGGCAAGGAGGCAAGTGCCGCCCGCCCCCGCGCCCCTTGCGGTGGGCGGCGCGGGCTGGTTTCGTGGGTGGGTCCCGGGCTGGCTCTCCAGCCCCCCACGCGCGACTGGACAGAGGCGCTGTCACTGCCCGGGGCCCTTCCCGCGTTCTGAGCCGGGCGGTCCTTGCGCTTTGCCCATTGCTGGGTCCCGCAGCCGCCCTGGGGCGCCGCCTTCCGGGGCTCCTCACCCTGCCCCCTCCCCAGCCCCCACCCCGCCTGTCTTGTCTCTCCCCTGCTCAGCCCGGTGCTCCTGCTGCCGTGGGCCCAGCCTGGACGGCCTCCACGCGGCAGCAGCCAGCCCTTGTGCCCGCTAGGAGCAGGCGGGACTTGGGGTGGGAGCAGTGAAGCCCGGAGGTGCATGAGCTGCCCCTGCTCCTGTCCCGGGGAGGCGGGAAGCTCGCACCTGTCGGCTCACCTGGCGAGAAAGGGAGTTAGGTGTGCGGGGCGGGCTTGGCAGGGTCGGAGGCGAGAAGACTCGCGCCGGCCTGTCCTGGAGCTCCTGGCCCCACCGTGCCCGGTCCCTGTCCAGGCGGGCGTGTGGCATGGCCATCCGGTCCTGACGTCTGTCCCGTGTCGCTGCAGGGCGCCCCTGGGAAGCCCGGAGAGCCAGGACTCAGAGGCCAAAGGGTAAGTGCGGCCCTGCGACCGTGGCCCCAGGGGCGCGGGAGCCAGCGAGGGGCTTCTGCCCTCCGCCTGGACAGCCGGCGCCCCCAGGAGGCCCCGCAGCTGCAGCCGTTGCTGCCGTTTCTTTGGGGTGGCTGTTGGAAGCGCGAATTCACCACGAGTACAGGTGCAAAGCAAGAGGGCGGCAGATTGGGCAGCGCGCCCGCGGCCTCACGCGCCCGCGTCACTCTGCCGGGAGCCGGCTTTGCCGCTGGAGGAGACCGGAACAGTTTCCCACAATGAACGGTCTCGGCGCTGCACCAGAAAACCGTTAGCACATTTCATTTCTCCACAAAACAGTGGGCGGGCGCCATGGATGGTGTCTGCAGAAGTGGGGGGCATTCCGGTCCTGGTCCTCTCTGGGAGCAAGGCGGCTCTCGGACGCGGTCCCCTCGGGGTCCCTCTGACGCCCGGCACACCGCAGGGACGTGGGGCACCACCCCGCCCGCTGCTGCTTCGCCGAGGTCCTGCGGGACGTTTCTCTGAATGGACCTCAAGCAGGCTGGGCGAGCCTGGGCTCCTCCTGCAGGCTGGACGCGAAAGTGGCGCCGGGGGCGGGAGTCCTGCTCTGGCCGCTATCCTGCCCCCTCTGTGGGGTTCAGCTCCTCGTCCGGGGGCTGTGGCCCTTAAGGGTGGCACCGTGGGCGGGGGCGGGGGCTGGTCAGTGGCTGAAAGCCTTGAGACCCCCAGGTCATCCCCGGGGCCCATCAATCTGTCCTCTGGCTCATCCGCCAGTGGGGAGATGGCCTCTGGGTAAGTGGTGTCCGGGAACGCTGCCAGGTGGTGGGCGCCCCGTCCCTCCCGCTGCTGGGGCGTTGGAAGGATGGGCCGGTGCTCTCCGGGCAAAGCGATTCTGAGACGTTTCCTGCATGGGAAGCGGGGCGCTCCGGAAGCGAGTGCAGCCCACAGCGCCGAGGGCCGCGGGGCACCGGGGTCTACGCTGGCTCTGGGAGGGCGCTGCTGTTTCCAGGGCTGCTGCCAGCCGCTGCGGACGCTGCGCTCGTGCAGGTGCCAGAACGGCCCGCCCGCT